GTTTATTAACTGACACTCGGCGGGAACGTTTTGATCCCTCGCAGCGCAGCCCTTTAAACCGCTCGTCCTTCTCTTTTGCGCTGCAAAAGGATGCTTTACATTATCCGCTCATCGTTTATGCTTTCCGTTTACGTTGGATCTCGGGGCCACTTTAAAATCTCACCAATAATTGGGATCACGCAATCGTTTGCATATCGTTTATTAACTGCCCGCCGAGCCTCGCCCTCGCACGCAAACCTGCATTCGCTGTTTCCTGATTAATTTATGCTTCTCTCCGGCTTTCGGGCTCCGTACCGTATTTTTGCCTTTACGCTCCTCGAGTTTCTTAACGGCAATAACGAGCGTAGAGAAGGTCCGCGATATTATTTCGCGATCGTGGCAATCTCCGTGAGGCAAGGAGTCGCTGCTCGCCGCTTCCAGTTGCACAAGATCGCGTAATAACGACGAAAGCCCGTGGTGCATGGCCCTGTACGTGTACTGCGGAGTCCTCGGCCTGCCGCGGTGTTGGTGCTCTGCGAAACAAAGTCTCCGAGTGTGCGCGTTGCATCGCAACAATTTCCTTGATCGATAGGTTTGGCAATAAGTACGAAGATCTCTCGTGCCCACGCTCGCGAAATTGCATAGGTTCGCGCAAAACCGATCCCGTCCTGCGGACTACGCTCAACGAGGCTTTAGCCTGCAGGGGGAAAAAAGAAATGGCAAATTGTTACCCTAAAACAGCTGGCTGAAACGAAACGTTCGCGTGGAACTGCTTCCTAGAAGACATCGTGCTCTACTACGTGTTTCAACGCAACGTTTTTCAAGAGACGTTCACGTGCAACCGACATTTACCTTCTATTTGTTCATTGAATTGTCGTTTGATCTTCCGTTCTAAGTTCGCCAATTTACGCTCGCATCCTCTTGGTTCCACGACCTTGTTTCCCTTGCAATTTTCTCGAGGCACCTGAAACTTTTCATTTCATATTAGCAACAATAATCTTTCAGTCAAACATCGCGGAGCTTCGAGTGAATGGAAACGAGCATTCTCCGGCAACGCTCGACCCCCACACGGGCAAACTGAACAAAAATGGCTCTCCAAGATCTTGGACGAGAGGTTCTCCAGCATCCTCCCTACCCACCGGACCTTCCTCCAACGAATTACCACCTCTTCCGTTCTCCTCGAAACGCTTTCAGCTGAATTTCCTGCTACAGTGACACGAAACAGCCTCCAAAATTGCTTCCCCATGAATACCAGCTTCTTGGAACACTAGTCCCTGGAAACACTACACGAACTCTGAAACAAATCATGTACAATAACAAACAACCTCAGTATCCTAAAGTATTCTTTAAAACTCTAGGGACAAAGTCCCTGTATCGAATAGCCTGAAAGAGTTGCTCGGTTCATGACTATACAAATACATTTACTCCAGATCCCACTGGCAACATCCAAGCTGCTAAGAAGCTTCCTAAGAGTCCTCTAATATTGAGACACCCTATGAATGAAAATGGTACCGCATTTTAGGCGCCTTAACCCTTTGCACTCGGGAGGCGACTCTCACCACGTGATTTGCCGCAGTAAAACTATAAAATCTGATACTTAACCCTTTGCACTCAGGAGGTGACTCAGTCACCACTTGACGTCATACAGTAAAACTATAAAATTTGGTATTTTATATTATACTTTGTATAATGCATCAATCTGAGAAATATTGAAATAAAACAGCTTTGTTTTATTTCTTTTTGTCTTTGAGTTTCAAGGAATATCTTCTTCAAAAAAAATTTTGAACTCCTAATATCTCAATACGTGAAAAAAAAAATAACTTTATTCTCCAGTGTACCTGATGAGTGTTAAGGAACACCTCAAAAAAATGTGAAACATTTCTCTTGAGAAACTTTCGAATGCAGACTTCAGTTGAACTTTCTCCAATACCTCAATACGTGAAAAATTAAACAAATAAATTTGTTCTCCAGTGTACCTGATTTCCCATCAAGTGTCAAGGAACATCTCAAAAAACTGTGAAACATTTCTCCTGAAAAACTTTCGAATGCAGACTTCAGTTGAACTTTCCCCAATACCTCAATACGTTCAAAATAAAAAAATAATTTTGTCCTCCAATGTACCTGATTCTCATCAAGCTGTCAAGGAACATCTCAAAAAAACGTTGACCATTTCTCCTGAAAAACTTCCGAGCGCAAAGTGTCGAAAACGCATCGTTTCGGAAGTAACGTGATCGTCCGATCGGTCCGTACAGGTTAGGAAAACCCGGGGGGGTTCCCCGGCCGCTAATTGGGAATTGAATAAATAAATGGCGGCGTATCTGGCGGCTCGAGGAGACGGTGTTCTCGGCGAAGGCATCGCCGTCGGCCGTGGCGCGTTGCCGCCGCCGCGCACGGATAAAGGATCGACCGTGGCGGCGATTCCGGACAGGAATTCCCGATGAGATGGGCGGAAAGTACAAAGGTTCGACGCGCTTCGGCGGTTCTCGGTACGGGAGGGCTTCCGGTCGAATTCGGCTAGCTCCGATCGGGCTCGTGCGCGCTCGTCTAGGATCGGGCCGGCCGGTGGGGTCTACATCGTGCAGGACGGGTAGTAGCAGGCGCGCCGCGAGGAGACCGGCAGTTTTGCGCTCCGTGCAACGGCCAATCGGCCAGTTCGTCGCCGGCTGTTCGTGAAAGAGGTATTTTCGCACATCGTTCTTGCGCCTCGCTCCTCGGATCGGGGAACCTTCTGCTCTCTCTCGCCGATTCCATTTTTCGAGTCTTCTCTCTTCTCCTGTACTCGCTGATTTTTTTCCTTGACGGTCTCGTTATCCTTAGAACACATTCTCTCTCTCTCTCTCAATCTTCTACTTCTTCTTCTTCCTACCTGTCTTTTTTCTCTCTACATCGGGAAACAGTAAGGAAATCGTTGAACCGTACCTGAAATCCTATTTTCACACCCCGTGGAACGGCTCGTTTATACGGGTACCGAGGAATCAGTCTCCTCGCCTCGAACCGGAAGTCTCCTGACCAACCTCGGAATTCGTAAGTGTGCATCGTATCCGTTCGCGGCTGGCTGCCACGTATGTCCGCATCTCCGAGCGAAATTGCCCGAGTGTGTTTGGTGACGTGTTAAATACGCGGCCATTTCCACCGGTCACGGCACACGAGATGTACGTAGAGAGCGTGTTTGCGAGTGTGCATCTGCAAGAGAGCGAGAGAGAGAAAGAGAGAGAAAAAGAGAGAGAGAGAGATCGGGTATCCGCAAGAGTAAGAGAGAGAAAATAGAGATACGTAATCGGTCGGTATTCTTGGTAAAAGCTTCGAATTCCGCGAATCACGGTCGATTGCGACCTTTATCGCGACCGAGCCAGTACGCGACGATCCCGGTCGTATTAGTAGATCGAAACTCGTCCGGGTCCCTCTATCGTGATCGAAGAGCAACGGTTGCGAACCGGAGTCAATTTGACTACCGTATTCCGTCGATCGGTTATTCTGTAAATTTCGAAAAATTCGTTATTCCGTATACGCCGGCGCGTCGCGGTACCCACGTAGGTGTTAAAGGTTGTGATTTGAACGGAAAGGGCAGCGAGAGAGGCAAGTTCGGTTTTTCGTGAAAGTTTTTCGCGAGTCAGCAGATGGTGAAGCCCTGCGTAGTTCGGGAGTAGAGAGAAGAAAGAGGGAGTAGAGGGAGATAGAGAGAGAGAGAAAGAGAGAGAGAGAGAGAATAAAAACGGTGAGCAGCCGGCCTCGTAGCACGCGGGGGTAAAAGTCCGGTCGAAAATAATTTCGAGACGCGACTGTCTGTCACGCGTACGTACCGGCTTATGCCGGTCGCTTACGGCGCATTCCGGCACAACTTACGAAACGGCAAGAAGCGACCATTTTAATTCGCACCGGCCACGCTCGGGGTCAAAGTGATAATACAGGGAACAGTTCTCCTCGACTTTTCCTTTTGTTTTCTTTTTCTTCTGGTGATGTCGGACGAAATAAATTGACGGAAGAAAAAACCGCGGGTCGATCGATGTGGGCGAAACTAACCGAAGCGATGGAAACGTCACGTAATAGTGCCTGCGCCACCGGCTAACCTCGTTCGCGCAATTCCCCGGAAGAGGTGAACCACGTGCACGTCAGATACACAGGTAAATCGTTGATTTTATTTTTTCCTTTCTGTTTGCTTCCTTGGCCGTTGTTCGTCGACGAACAGATAGAATCCGTATATACGAGAAGTATCGGTAGTAAAAATTGTCGCGATTCTTGACCTTCGTGGTATAAAAATATTGCGTCATCATTTGAAAGTAGAATACTTGTTTTTTCTCTTTTTTGCGACGTCTGTGTCGTGTTTTCGTGTCGCGAAGACGCGCAAAATAAAACCGACGTTGTTACCGGGGAATATTCAATAGGAAGTGGTAAATCGGAGAATTCGTTTCCGTTGATAATTCGTCGTGTTAACCATGAACTAGCCGACAATAAGGTGAGAACTCGTGTTCTAGAAACGAGGGCTCCACCGTATCGTCTCGCGGCGATAATATTATTTTTCTGCGTTCTTGTAACCGTACTATGAGTCGATCGTTATTTTTAGAGTTCACGAGTTTCCGTCGATTCGTGCTCGGAATTTTATGTTTAGTCTTGGAGATTACTATTTTTTTTCCCTCCGGCCGAGAAAAAAGAATGTTATTTCGTCCAGCGATTTCGGTTACTCTTGTCGTCCGTCCCCTTTGCTCCCCGTCGAGCGACTTATCAATCTGGATACGTTCTTCCTTTGGATACGCGGCACTTATCGCTCGCTGATTTTACGCAACATTTTCAATTTCGATAAAACGAAAGTACCGAGAATTTTTCTTTCTGCGCACCGTGCATGCTGCTCGAGTGGTAAAAAGGGTGAAGCGAGGACTTACCTTTCGAGGAGGTTACTGTACGAGGATCGAAAAATTCCATACAAGTCGCTAATTGCTTTTCTGACGGGAAAATGTTTTTTCGTCCCGGACTTTATAGAACGCTTTTACATTACACGCTCTCGCGGCTACAATTACTCGAATCATCGCGCAAATTCTGACGACCGTTACGGTGACTGCTATAGTCGAACTGTATTTTCAGTTATTGCACGTGTCGACGTTCGGACGACAGTAACGAATTTCCTTAAGATTCCATTTCTGTTAATTTAATTTTCTCCAAGTGTAATTTCACATTGAAATTTATTTTTGAATATCAATTCCGGTACGTTGTTTTCCAAGGAAAGACAAAGAGAAAAGTGAAACAGAAGACGATTGGTCAGCGTTCGTGGAATTAGACGATATTTTTGACACGTGTCGCACGTCTGTCACAACTGGCAGTAATACTAGTTCACCGGTAGGGAACATATGCCGAGTTATTATACGCCTAATCGGTCCAAGTGATACCTAAATAATTATCTTCGTTTCCACATGTTCGACGTCGAATTCTCCTGCGCGGAGAGGTGCGAAACTATATAAGGTTAAGTGGGCGTCTGCGTCAGTCCTTCGTTGAAAGGCGCGATCACAATCGGCCGCATCATTTCGCAACTCGTTCCATCGTGATTTCAAATACTCGCGTATCAAACGTTCGAGATAACTCTTCGTCTCGTCACTTCTGTCGCGCGTTCAATCGACAATTCAACGTTTCCAACGTTCAACGAGAAAACCATAGAAAAATCCTATAAATCGATGAATTTTTCCGCTCGTTTACGGTGACATCTACATTTCCTGCTACAAGACGTTCCATTTAATCCGATTCTCCTACTTGCCGACCGGTACAAGCTGCATTCAATTATCCTACGTGTTAAACAACCCCTAAAGTTTTCCAATACGACTCCTTTCAACGTACATTAGCGGTTTCCAACCTTTTCTTGTCTTTTGAAAATTTATGAGAGCTGTAAGAGTTCATTAAGATATCAATTGGCTTATATCTCTATTAGGTATCCCTAAATCAGCTTTAATCACCTCTAGCGTCTGTGCTACAGTAATCGTGAAAGAAATTAATTGGTCATTTGACTCCGGTAGTTCTAGTGTTAATAGATACAACAATATAGACAGTTCTAAATAACAATAACTCCATTACAAAATAAACTACACTGTACTGTTACGATATGGTTTATTTCTAGATTATTCTATGAACATTAATTCATCAAAAATTCTATCTTTTAATAGACATAAATTTTAAATAACGATAACTCCATTACAAAAACATTACTCCACTGAATCAGTACTGTTACGATACGAAGTTTATTTCTAGATACTAAGAACATTAATTCTTATTAAAAACGTTGCCTCCGGCGGTATAGCCTCCCAAGTTGGAAACCCATGACGCGTCTTGCCTCATACATCAGTTAGAACACACTATCCAGTTCGGAATGATTCGAATCGAGGACTGGTAAATTAATCGTAGACGCGGCGAAGGGAGCAGCCCGTCACTGGTTAGAATTGAAAGTTAGAAGAGGGCGACCGGCGAGTAGTCAGTCAGAGTCATGTGGGCTGAGGGAATTCGCCGGTTGTAACGTTCGTTCGTTCGTTCGTTCGTTCGGTTCGGTTCGGTTCGGTACCGGGACGGCCTCGTGGTACGTACACGAACCGGTGTCGTTGTATCTGTGCGCGTAGCTCGTGCGTAAGTCTTTCTCTGTCTCTCTCTCTCTCGCTTTCTCTCGGTTACCGATCCGCTCGCTCATGAGCACT